ACAATTGATGTATGTATGGATTGTGATAAGAGTTGTATGAGCCCTAATAAAATCATCAGAAAAAACCCAATTGATGTATAGATTGTTATAAGAGCTATAAGAGCCCCCAATAAAAAGATTTATTAAATTAAAAGTATTTATAAATTATGAATTCTCGACTAAGTGAATTAATTTACGTGTATAAAAGAGAATCAGTGTGAGAACATTCAAATGAACATTTTAGTCATTTTAACAGTGTCTTGGATTTATTGAATATATGTTGAATTTAAAATGACAGCTGTGTAGTTTTTTGAACTAAAAAAATATTTTTCTTAAATATTAGTCTTTGGGGCTGTTCTTTTACTAATGAATTATAGTATTAAAAGGAGTAGAGAAAATGAAATGAAATTCTAATACCAATATCACCTCTTGTTAATGGCTATAAAAAATCTCTTTAAACACATGAAGATTTGGGGATAATCAGCTTTCCATTCATTTACATGCTTCCTGACCTAATGTAGTTGCTTGGCCACTATAATTAAATGACAGGCGATGTTAACAGAAATATGTTTATTTTTTTCATTGTCACATCTGCATGTCAGAAAACATACACCTAAATGTCTGTTATTAATGTCAGTCTTTCATAACCTTCACTTTTTTTATATCAGAAATGAGGGAATTGAAGTTCGTCTAGTGAAAAGGAGAGAATATGATGAAGAAACTGTTCGATGGGCGGATGCTGTGATAGCCGCAGGAGGTAATAATGTTACAGAGGTAAAGATGCTGGGAGGAGACAGGATGCTCTTAGTTCCCAGTTACGTGGTTGTCTAGTGACAGTGAAGTCCAACTATAAGACACATTTTTTGGATTTCTAGCATTTGGTTTAAGACATACCCGTTTGCTTCTAGTGGTGCATACTTTGTTTTGAGATGTACATCTAATTTTTCACTTGAAATGTGAGACAAAGGAATAGTTATAACTGGGTTTTGGTTTAGTAGTACCAGTCTTTAAAAAAAGTGGAAATTTATAGTTTAGTGAAATTAGATATGTTCCTTTCTACGTAAGCCTCAATATCCTCTGCCCAGCCAGCACCCACACCCCGAGGCGTTTTCTAAACTTTTAAGTTGACAGCATTAGTTGGAGAGAAATATCCAAAATTAGACACTTTGTTGGATGTATTGGATATACCTCCAAACCCAAACCCACTGCCATGGAGTTGATTCCTAGGAACCTTATATACAGTTTCCAAGATCTTTATGGGAGCAAATAGCTTCATCTTTCTCCCATGGAGAGTTTGAACTGCTGGTGGGTTTGAACTGCCAACCTTGTGCTTAGCAGCCCAGTGCTTATCTAACAATGCCAGCGAGGCTCCTTATATTGGATATATTCATAAAATAATACATGAATCTGGGTTCATGTTATGAGAGAAGGGAAAAAAAGGATTAGTTAATAGAAGTGATAGGGTTAGTACACTGGTTCCCAGTGGGAGCAGTTTGATCCCAAGAATTATTTGGCATAGTCTTGAGACAAACTTGTCACAAGGTGTTAAGTATAGGGAGATGGCTTCTAACGGTAGACTAGAATGAACATACCAGACACCCTGTGCAATGGAGAATTATCTAGCCTAACATGTCAATCTTGCCACAGTTTAGAAATCATGGATTAGAGTCCAAAAGAAAACAGAAAGGAACGATAAGTAGAAAGGAAGGTGTAAACTGTGGCAGTTGGAAGATGGGTGATAGTGGTTGAAACAATAGTCCCAGTGTTCAGGATGAAATGTGAAAAACTGGTTTATAGCAAGTGTTAATTTTGCCTATGCCTTTTAGGTGATGGCACTATGCTTCTGGCAGCAAGTAAAGTCTTAGATAGACTTAAACCAGTTATTGGCGTAAACACTGACCCAGAGAGGTAAGAAAAATTGGGGTTTCTTTGTTCATTATACACATTACATATAAAAATGTTTGTTTTGTTTTGAATATTTATGATACATTTGACATTTGGGCTCTGTCACTAAAAGTAGTTTTGCCTTTGCCTTGTTGCTATGACTCTTAAGTGGACGCATTCATTCCTAGCTACTATGAAGAAGAAATTGAATACTTTTTAAAATCAATTTCTGTCTGAAATTTATAAAAATATAAAGAAAACTAATAATTACTGGTGACTGGAAGGCAAAAATTGTGAACAATGAAGAAAGCGCAATAGTTGGCAAATACAGTTTTGGTGAAAGAAATGATGCTAGCGATCACATTATATAATTTCACAAGCCAATGACCTGTTTGTTGGAAATACCTTTTCTTTCACAACATAAATGGTATCTATATCTGTAGACCTGCCAAATGAAATACCCAGGAATCTAGTCAACTATAACTGTGGAAAGAGATGATAGAGAAGCACAATATCATTAGTCAGAAAAAGGTCAGGGGCTAACTGCAGGATAGATGATTAATTACTCATATGCAAGTTCAAGTTGAAGCTGAAGAAAATGAAAATCAATTCAGAAAAGCCAAATGTGCACCTGAGTACATCTCACCTGAATTTAGAGATCATTTAAAGAATAGAAAACATGTTGAAAGCTAATAGCAAAGACCATACAAGTTTTGGAGTGATAATAAGGACATCATAAATACAAGGCAGATTGGTATTCAAAAGACAGGTAAGGAAGAAAGACCAAAATAAATTTCAGAAGAGCCTCTAAAACTTGCTCTTGAATGTAGCTAAATCAAATGGTGGTGGTGGATCAAGCATAAGAGAGTTACAGAATATCTCAAGGGGCAGATTGAGAAGACCAACTATGATGATGAAATGTGCAAAGACCTGGAGTTACAAAACCAAAAGGGAAGAGCATGTCCAGCCTGTCTTAAACAAAAAATACTGGCGAAAAATTCAAGCCTTAAGTTGAAATATTGAGCTGTGCAAGGAGCATCAAAAGAAGATAGAAGGAATATAAAGAGTCATTGTACCAAAAATGATTGGTTGACATGTAATCATTTCAGGACATTGCATATGATCAATAACTGATGGTACTGAAGGGAGAAGTCCAAGCTGCACTGAAGACATTAGCAAAAGAACAAGGCTCCAAGAATCGACTGAATACTAACTGAAAGGTTTCAACACAACTGATACACTATAATCACTCACTAGCCTGTATCAAGAAATTTAGAAGACAGCTACTTGGCCAACCAACTAGAAGAGATCCATATTTGTGTCCATTCCAAAGGTGATTGAATAGAATGCAGAAATTATTAAGCAATATCATTAATAATACATACAAGTAAGATTTTGCTGAAGTTAATTCAAGAGCAGTTGTAGCAGGCAGTGAAAAGGAACTGCCAGAAATTCAAGCTGGATTGAGAAGATGACTCAGAATAAGGGAATTCTACATGATTTAAAATCAGGAAAGGTGTGCATCGGGCTTGTATCTGTTCACCATACTTATTCCATCTGTATGCTGAGCAAATGATCCAAGACCCTGGTCTGAAAATAGAAGAACTTGGCATCAGCAATGGTTGTTCTTGTCAGGTGCCTGACCTATAGCGACCCCATTCACCGCAGAACAAAACACCGCACAGTCCTGTGCCATCCTCACAATCGTTCCCATGCCTGAGCCCATTGATGCAGCCACTGTGTCAGTCCATCTTCTTGAGAACTTTCCCCTACTTTTCTGCCCCTCTACCGAGCGTCATGTTCTTCTCCTGACAATATGCCCGAATTAGGTAAGACAAAATCTTGCCTTGCTTGCTTCTGAGCACTCTGGCCTTACTTCTTCCAACACAGATCAGTTTGTTCTTTTAGCAGTGCATGATACTTTCAATATTGTTCTCCAGCATCACAATTCAGATGCATCCATCCTTCTAATGGGCTTCCTTTTTTCATGGTCCGACTTAAACATGCATATGAGGCAATGGGGAATATCAAGGGTTAGGTCAGGAGCACCAAAGTCCTCAAAGTAACATCCTTGCTCTTCAGTACTCTAAAAAGGTCTTGTGCAGCAGATTTACCTAATGCAATGGGAATTGAAGGGAGGCTTAATAACAACCTGCAATATTCAAAGGACTCATCCTTACTTACTGAAAACAAAGAGGACTTGAAGCCCTTGCTGATGATCAAATGTGTAACCTTCAGTATGGATTACACCTCAACATAATACAATCATGCTCACAACAGAGACAAGTGTGAAGTTATCAAGGACCTAATTTTACTTGGATTCACAATCCATACCCAGGAAATCAAACAACATTGCACTGGGCAAACCTGCTAACAAAGACCTCTTGATAGTGTTAAAAACACATATGGCACATTGTGAACAAGGTGCCTGACCCAGGTGTGTATGACAGCTCAACAGTCAGCTAAAAAGACAGGGATTATCGATGCATTTGAATTAAATTAAGGTGTCCTTGAAAAACACTGAATATACCATGGACTACCTGAAGAACTAGTAAATATGTCTTGAATGATGTCTAGTCAGAATGCTCCTTAGAAGCATGGATGACGCAACTTTGTCTCACATAAATTGGACGTAGCAGGAGAGTTCTGTCCCTACAGGGGAATATCATGCACGGTAAAGTAGATGAGCCAAAAAGAGGAAGACCCTTAATGACATACATTGACACAGCCTTCACTAATGGATTCAAACATAGCTATCAATGTGAGGATGGTAAAGGTAGGCCAGTGTTTCTTGTGTCACTGAATTGGAACTGCCTTGATCTTTAACAACAACAACTGAACATAACCATGTTCCAAAAGAATTGTTGTAGTGATGACATTTAGGCATATAAGACTGATTGCTGCCAACATACAAGCAAGAGTTCTCTTGTATATAGTTTTTGTTTGTTTGTTTGTTTTACAAGGACATGGCCTTAGGTTTCAGTTCAGTCCTGAGAAATACATCCTTCTAGCTGGCATTGAGAAAGGTCCCAACAGAAACAGTTTGCACTAGACTACCAACTGAAAGGCTGGTAGATCACACCTACCCAGTAACTGCACATAAAAAGACTAGGCAGTCTGCTCTTTTCATAAAGATTACTTTCAAGAAATCAGTATGGTTGTGGGTCTCTGGTGTAACACACAGGGTCACCATGAGTTGGAATTGACTTCAATGGCAATGGGTTTGTTCTGGTGTTTGGTTGAGCTGACATTTGTGGTAGAAAATTATGGCATGGGACAGACCACTCTTCACATTTGAGTCTCCCAGGTAGTGTGGGAAAAGGATCTGTGGCAGAATAGACCTGGGCCCTTGACTCAGGTGAGATTGGGGGCTTGTGTATTACCGAAGGGCACTAAGTGAATAGAGCTCCATCGTCCAGTCCTTATTGCTCTCGTTTCCATTCTTGGTTCTACCTTCACTGGTTTCCTGGGTGACTTTGAATTAATCAAGTCTTATTCATAATTCTCTTATTTTTTTCTTTCCTCAGCTCTGATAGTTACCCTCCTTCTATTTCAGCTCCCCACAGCTGTGGTCACACCCGGGTTTCATCATCATCTAGAATTTCTCCATCTCTGAAACCTTATTCCTCTCTAACCTCAGCCTCCTACCTTGACAGCAGACAGTAACCCTTGACAGTAACCCTCCCTCCCTCTCTCACAACAGATCTTCTCTCCCATGTCACTGCTTTGATCCCCTCTCTCTTCTTCACTTGGTTTGCTCTCACTGTATTCATTTTTTTGACAATTAAAAATATTTTGTACTATCCTCCTGGCCAATCCTGGACTGGTCTACCTTTGTTTCCCCCCTCAACCGGCACTGCTGAGGTTATGTGGAAAAACAATGATAGAAGTGGGGCCCAGTGTCCCTTCCAGGGGTTAGTCACCAGCACACTCAGAATTGCTCAAACACCTTTCCATACAGCCACAGTAATTTCTTGTCTCCATTCCTTAGGATGGCTGTTTGCTTCTTCAAATTCTGTATATTCATTACTTCTTTTATCCATCCTGCCTCGTATCTCACAGAGAGGCATTAGAACTTCCTCAACTTTACTCCCCTGCAACACAAATTCTGTTCTATCATTTGTTTCCTTTTCTCTCCTCTAAGCTTGTTTTTGACTCTCATTTTTCCAGAAAATTTAATAAACCTTTTACCTTGTGTCAATCTCTGTTAACATTTATCCTTGCTCTTTCTCCATATTTGATGTTGCCACTTCATTATTTCTGTCTCTAATTTATTAACATAACAAAAGCCTATAAAAGACCAGTGGTTTCCTAGTTACTAAGCCTACTGGGGCCATTTTCTTAGTTGGCTTACTTGATTCCATGGACATTTTTAATGCTAATGTATCCCTTATTGCATCTATCTTTTGACATTTCTGACACTTGTTTATTCCAGGCTCTGTGGTTACTTCTTTGCCTCTCTTCCTATCGAAAAATTTTAATTTTCTGTCAGCTGCTTAAAGACACACGTTTTCAAACATGTCTGGGCTCTCATTTTCTCCATCTCTCTTTGTACTGTCTCCAGACAGCTGATTATCACTCATGGTTTTCACTCTGGAATGTGACCCCACCCCCCAAATCTTGAAATCCAACACTGATCTGACTTCCCCTTTTACCCTTCTCCACTCGCAGCCAGAATGATTGCTTTATAGAAACGTGGTATGATGTGACTTCTCTGCTGCAAGGGTTACGGTGGCCCCCATCTCAGAATGCAACCCAAGGTTTTTCTAAGATCAGCATGATTACCCAGCTCGTCTGGTTTTAGTCTCTGTGCCCCTCACCCTGGTCTCCATTTCTTGACCTCTGTTTGTCCTCATTGCCTGTTTCGTTCCACTTTCTTCCTGTGGTTCTTGCCACACTGGTCTCTATTTCAATAGATATAGGTGGCATTGAAATCTAACATCTACAAAACATGTCTCTCCTCTCCCTTTCCCTGCCATTCTTGATGAATGGCCTCCTTGCTGCACCTTCACCTCTGATCAAACCGGTCACTAAATTCTAGGGCTCATACCTTGGAGTCCACTTCTCATCATCCTCACAGTCAGTGAACACAGCGCCGGCCCCTGTAATGTGTTTCAATGACTGCAGTAGCCTCCCATTAGTACCCCTAGTGTTCCTTCTACAGTGCAAGTCTGATTGTGCTCACTCCTCACTCAAAATCTGTTAGGGCTTCTCTAGGAGCTTCAGGGTTCACATATGTATCTATGTATGTACACACACACACCATGTGTATACATACACACACCTGCCACCAACTGTTGCCCTATTTTTATCTTCATTTCCCCATAGGCCTTATACATTCTTTTGCTAAAATTTGACTGAATTTCCTCTAGGATGGTACATAAAATGTTCTTAAGTGCAAAATATATGCGTATCTGCTAACACTATTGGTTGTTACAAACATGAAGACTTTGCTCTGGTATTTAAGATGCTCATGATTTGAAAGAATAGAGTAGTGAAAGTGTCTTCCAAAAAAATAGATAAATGAAAACTCAAACTTAATGACGTAGAGTAGATTCCTATTCCAATTGACCGTATAGGACAGGGTAGAACTGTCCCTGTGGGTTTCTGAGGCTTACCTCTTTATAGGATTCGAATGCCTTCTGTAGTCTTCTATGGATCAGCTTGTGATTTCAAACTGTGGACCTTTCAGTTAGCAGCCCCATGTGTAACTACTACGGCACCAAGGCTCCTCCACAGGCCCTGTTCTTTTTCTGCATTTATCAGTGCTTCAACCTGGAGTGCCCTTCCCTCCTCTATTCACAAGTGCTTGTCCTGTTCATTCAGATGGGGGCCTGTTGTGGGCTGTAACTGCAGTTCCCTGTACAGACAGCATGTATCTTTTGATACTAGTTTCTGCTTGATTGTCTTTTCATTACATTCTAAACTCCACAAGTATAGACTCTTATATTTCAGTTTCTCTATCACTACTATAGTTTTGCACGTGGTTGGTAGGCAATAAACATTTGAAAAATGAATGATAACTTAAATGATTTTTGGAGGCAGAGCTAGAGGATCCCAATTCCGTAAAGTAATTCCCTGAGTAATTGAAACCATTGATTTAGTAATTAATTCTGAGGGCCTTCAATGTTGATGCATGCGAGTGTTATGATTTCTTAATGGCATATTTTTATATCATTAAGGTAAGAAAGTCTTTACTTATACTTTACGTAGTTTATTGAAAGACCTTTCTATTTAGAAAGCTGGGTGGTTATTCATAAGCTGGGAATTTTGAAACTGGTGAACAGGGTGTTACCAGCTAGGCTGTCTCAGTTTTTCCACCCAGACTAAGAGGTTTTTAAAGTTCATTGGTTTCTTCACCTCCAGGAAGAAAGAAATGAAGCTTTCTATTGTCTTCTGTAATTCAAATTGTCTGACTTTTTCATTAGCACCATGATGCTATATCACTCTTAAATAAGGCCAGAAGTTAATGTTCAACTTAAATTTCTTCTCCTTTGTATAAGCTGTGAAATGCTACTTAATGAATCACACCATTATTTACTGCCTTAAAGTAAGAATTCATTATCTTATGGTTTCTGTGTTAGGATTTTGGAGTACTGTGGCTGGGTGGTTTGGTGTGGAATTGCTTGTGAAGCTACAGCCAGAACTGCAGCCACCTGAAGGCTTGATTTGTGATGGAGGGTTCACTTTCAAGGTGGCTCACTCATGGATTCATCTAAATGACATATCTCATTCATGTATCTTCTGTATTCTGTACCCATTCTGCTGAGCCTGGTAAATAATTGATGTTTGAGTAAGATCAAAAATAGGAAAATAAATGAATAAATAAATTTAAAAGTTGAAAAATACGATAGAAGCTGTGTAGTAGCCAGTCTCTAAGGTAGGCTGCTAGTATTACACCTGTATGGTTGGTCTGACTCACTCTTTAGATCACCAAAGGAGCACCCACAGTGGTGCAGTGGGTTACATGGCTTCTAACTGTCAGGTCAGCAGTATGAAATCACCAGATGTACTGAGGGAGAATGAGAAGGTGTTCTATTTCCGGGAAGATTTTGTAATCTTGGAAACCACAGAGGCAGTTCTACTCTGCCCTCTAGGTCCACTGTAGTCAGAATTGACTCAATGGTAGTCAATTTATAACACCAATAGAATGTGGTTTGGCAATACGTGGCTTCCAAGGTCGGGTCATAAAGGATCTCGCAGTTCTAGCACTGGCCGCTTGGATTGCTACTTTGGGGGACAGTCAGCCATCATGATGTGAGAACATCCAAGCAGCCCTGTAGAAAGGGACATGAAGAGGACTGGAGGCCTCCACCACCTGGCACCTGTTTGCCCGCCATGTGAAAAGCCACCTGGGAAGGGAGCCCTCCAGCCCGTGTCAAGCCTGTGGGTGCCTGTGGCCCTAGGTAACATTTGAATATAAACTCATGAGAGGCTCCTCTCTGGAATGTTTAGATCTGCAGTGGACTTCAGCAGTTAATATCAAGTGATGGTTGATGCTTAGCACTATGTATTGCTGTGGATACAAAATGTAAAATAATTAGGCCATGCCCTTTTTCAACCTCAGCGATGTCCTTCAAGATGTAGGTTCCCAAACCTGTTTGGCCCCTTTTTGGGGGGAGAAAAATTACTCAGCTCCTCTGGCAATAAAAATCTCAGGATAAAGTGTAGGTATCTGCTTTTTTTCAGTAACCGCTCAATTGCTCCTGTGCCCCAGGAGGCAGGCGGTGGTATTGCCCACGTTGAAGAACACTGCTCTAAGATAAAGAAACCATTGCCTGTCATCGCTTTGTAAAAATAGTTTACTCCTCACACTTTAAGTTAACTTATTAGCAAGACTGTGTTTGCCAAGCCTACACTCATGCTTCCCTGAAGAGTGAAGACCACTGGGCTTTCTCAACACCTTTTTTCACTTTGTGAGCCGTGCACATTCATCTTCTATAGCAGCCCGGACACAGTCGTACCACTTCGTAATCTGGGATTGTGTTGATTTCTGACTTCTGCATCAATGCCAGTTTAAAATAAATGATGGATTCTGTAAGAAAACACTTCTCAGTTCTGTGTTAATGACTTGGAATATCTTAAATAACATTGAAAAAGACATTATCATTAAAATGATCATCTTTACATACTTGTTTGATTGACTTCTCAGAAGAAGCCTGGTGGCTTGAGAGATGAACTGATGCTAAACTACCTTGTCCAACGTTAGTAGTTAAATAATTTAAAAGGTAAAACCCTTTGTACCATTACATAATATTATGGGTAATCAAAAAGTGGAAAACTGACCAGCTTTTTAGATTCATTCTAAATGTGTATCATAGCATTAAAGCTGACTGGAGCTTATACTGGCCTATTTTGTTGTTAAAAGCAGACAATTTGGGGGCAAAAAATGAAGTGTAGAGTAGAGCATTTAAATCTAATTTTTATAGCTTGAATTAAATGTTTCTTTTTTCCTTCATCCTCTTTTTCCCCTTTACACCACACAAAATCCCCTTTACGATGAAGGTCTGAGGGGCACTTATGTCTGCCTGTCCGATATACACATTCCTTCCCAGAAGCCTTACAGAAGTTCTACCGTGGGGAGTTCAGGTAGGAACATTGTATTATCGTTCTTATATAGATGTGTTCCAATGGAAATGCTGTTAAAGACAATCAATTTAGATAATATTTGGATTTTGTATAACTGCGGCATTAAAAAGGAGCCCTGGTGATGCAGTGGGTTAAGTGTTGACTGCTGACAGGCTGCTTCACGTGAAAGGGCATGTCACTCCACTGTAAGTCTCAACTCAAAAGCACTTAGCTCTAGCTCTGTGGGTCAGTGAACCCAGCTCCCCCAATTAAGTCCCCAGAAACACCCCACTCCACAGCCAGCCAAATGCACTCTGCTTTACTTGCTCTGTGACCTGGGAAGTCCACTGCTCTAACTCACACTCTGGTCCTGGTTCTGCTGCTACTCCTCTGGTGTCAAAGCTGTCCCTTGGATCGAGGAGGGTCACTGTGCAAGGATGATCATGGGATCCAGAGGACACACTCCACTCTTGACTTGTGCTGGTAGTGGCTGGTTTCATACCCAGCAGGAGGGCAATCACAATGAGTCCGGCTAACAGGCACTCATAACTGTATCCTATTGGTATCTGCCTTCGCCTTCTCTTAGCCAGACCCACCAGGAAAAGGTCATTTCGTAGGAATTACGGAGACTCTGGCTAGATGAGCCATATTAGATCATTTAGTGTAGTGCATTACAATTGAAAAGAAAAATAAACACCTCACTCTGGCTTTGAGCAGGAATCTGTAGGTTTTAGTGCTTATGGCATACTTTTGGAAAAAGTCATTTGTTTTTGGAAGAAATTGTTTGGAAATTAGCTTTTTAAAATCAATTTGGTAAAATTATTATAATGTCTATTTTTTAGTTAATTTATTCTATCCATCCTGGTGACTTTCTCCCTCTTTCCTTTTCGAAGGTGGCTATGGAGGCAGCGAATCAGGTTGTATCTTGAAGGGACTGGCATCAATCCTGTTCCTGTGGACCTTCATGAACAGCAGCTAAGTTTGAGTCAACATAGCAGAGCCTTCAACATTGAACGGGTTCATGATGAAAGTAGGTGGATTGTGATTAAATGTGTTTGGGGCAATATTTGGAGAGCCCTGGTAGTATAATGGTTACACTTTGGGCTGTGATCCACCTGGTCTGCAGTTCAAACCATCCGCTGGGAGAAAGACTGCGTTTTCTACTCTCAGAAGTCGTTAGAGCCTCGGAAACCCACTTGATGCCAGTGAGTTCGGGTGGTTTGAGTTGGGTTAGTATTTAAGTTACAGTTACAGCAACCTCTAATTGGGGAAGTAATTTTCATTTTCATTGCTACCAGTAACATACGAAGATACAGTGGATTGATTTCATTATAAGCTTTAATGTTAAGATTAGAAGCTGAAGTACGAAATGCATCATACTCTGTCCCATAAAAAACAATCGAGTTGGTGGCAGTGAGTTTTGAGTGGTGTGACTGTTTAAGTAGAGTGAGCTTGAGTTAGCTAGCAATTACTAACAGTCACCCTGAAGGGGAAAAAATAGAAGCATTTCCTTCTCAAGTAACATTAATTATCATTGAGACGTACAGGTCAACATTGTAAGTACATGTTGGCTTGAAAGCCAGGAAAATCAAGTTTAATTAGCTATCCATCTTTCACTGAATGAAGCACTTTAGCAGGTAGAAAGGCAGAGACTAATTTTAGAACCATTTTAGGGTTGTTTATTATATAAAAACTGTGCTAGGTACTTTGAGGATTAGAGTAACTGTCTTTAAAAGGTTGCCTGGTGGGGGGAACATATGGGAAAACCCTGATGATTGATTATACGATGCTAATTAATCTCAAGTATAGAGGTACCATAAGGAAGGAGCCCTGGTGATATCGTGGTTGAACTGCTCAGCAGTTTGAACCACCATCTGCCGTACGGGAGCAAAACATGACAGTCTGTTTCTGTAAAGACCACAGACTCAGTTCAACTGTGTCCTACACAGTTGCTGTGACTCACTCAATTTGATGGTTTGAGTATCAGGAGGCCGCACAGTGATCAACTGCTAACTAGAAAGTCAGCAGTGTGAATCCTCCAGTTGCTCTGTGGGAGAAATAAGGGGCAGCCTGCGTCTATGAAGATTACAGCCTTGGAAACCCTGTGAGGAAGTTGTACTCTGACCTACAGGGTCATTATAAGTCAGGGTCAACTTGATGGCAGTGGGCTTGTGTCATTGGGATTTGGTGGGATGGTGGTTAAATGCTTGGTTTCTAACCAAAAAGTTGGTAGTTCAAACCCACCAGTAACTCATAAGGGACGAAGATGTGGAAGACTACGTCCATAGAGATGACAGCCTTGGAAACACGCAGGCCCACTTTGTCTTGTCGGGTTGCTGTGGACCAAAACCGACTCAAGAGGAGGCATTATGATCTGTAGACAAGAGTAGAGAAAGAAGAGATGTTCTGAACCAGGCTTTGGAGCAGTTCTACTTGTGTAACCATCAAAAAGAGAAGAACAGTTTCAGATTGAACTAGCTGTTGCCCCAACATCACAGGCAAAAAACTCTTAAGTTTCCAGGGTTAACGTAATGAACTAGGACCCGAGGCTAGAAAGTGTTCTGGACTAGATCATAGATGCCGCACGAACAGGTTGTGCAGGATAGGAACGGACAGGCTATTTTTAGCTGTGAAGAAGTGTGTGGAGGAGATACTCGAGACACAATGCATTATAAATGACAGCAGTTTAAACCTGGCAGCATGATTAAGTAGAAATAGGTTCAAGTTTATGTATACAATGATTTAGTTTATGACAAATGTAACATTTCAATTCAATGAAGAAAGGACAGAGCATCAACAAATGGTGTTGGAACGCCTACCAAATCACTTGGAGAAAATGAATTAAATCCCTTCCTTATGATTCCTACTCCAACATGAATTTCATAAAGAGTTAAATGTAAAATGTGAACTCCTCACATATTAGAAAAAACCTGTGTGGTTTCAGATAGGGAAAAGCAGAACCTTCAGGTAATCCACAGGATCTTGGTGGTGGTTGAATTGCTCACCGCTCAGTTTAGGGCTGTGATGTAGCTCTCCCTAACCCTCAGGGCCCGCCGCTGACTGGAAAGTGAATTCACAAGCCCACTAATTCCAGGGTTTTCTGCCAGGATCCTTGGTCCACTTTTCTTTTTCAGTTACTTAGAAAAAAGAATGGCTAGCAATCTTAATACTTTTTAAGGACTGTTTTTTTAGTTAAATTACATTAATTTCCTTAAAAGCCTTAGAAGATCAATAGAAGTTAATGTTTCTTTAATTAAAAACAGTTCCTACTCTAAATATGGTTTAATTTTTTACATTTATTCATTATCCTTGTTTTGGATTGAGTGCTGTTTTTGCCTTCAAATGTACACCTCTGCGAATTTAAACCAGTGCAACTTAGTCTTTTATATGTAAAACTGGTTAATAAGTTTTAATATTTTTAACTGTGATCTATTAAATGGTAAATTTCTGAAAAGATTCCTTGATGTGGTACCTATGTAAATATCTGAACATAAGCATTCTATTTGAAAAGACAGATATACTCTAATATATATGCTATAGTTTCCAATATAATTTGTGGATGTAGTTTTCAGTTTAAATCTAAAGTAGTTCTCTGTTGGAAGAGCTTGGTCAGTCCACCTCGGAAGCCTTCAGAGGCGAATGCGTAAAGTTAGAGGAAATTCAGTAAGATGGACATTTCCTTTCTCTCGGAATTGTTATTTTACTTACTTTGATGTTGCTGAGAATATTCTCATGTCCACCCTTCTCCCAACTCAAGACAGGCATTCTTTACTTAACTGTTGTTTGGTGTAAAGGCGACTTCAAAGGATAGTTTAGTTTAAACATATCTCAGGAGAAGTTTGGGAGCTCATTCAGTCTTAACGGATACAGAAAGCTTGGGATTCCTTGAGAATGTCAGCTTGTTACTTAAAGTGTATGATCACATGAAACAAAAAATGTAAAAGTTTCCTTGTTTTATGCCATCTATCCTCTAGTATTTCTAAAACCGGGTCCTTTTTCATTCCCTGCAGCGTCGGTGGCTCCAGGCCCCCAGCTTTTGCCGGTGAGGGCCCTGAACGAAGTTTTCATTGGGGAGAGCCTGTCATCCAGGTACTTTTCTATCTCAGTTCTTGAATGTGGAACATTTTTGATGTTTTAATACTTTCTATTTTGATTACATATTCAGCTCCTATATCCCAGTTAAGAGTTGCCAATAATCTAATGGAAAATTTTCTCAACTTTGATACACATTGGGGGCCAAACATTGGGGTCAAACTCAAAACAAAGCAAAGCTAGTCAGCTCTATGACAGTACATCCCAGAACCTCTCATCTATCATGTAGATGCTCCACAGATGTTTCAGAGAACGATATACCTTGCATAGATCTGTAGTTGATACACTTGTAATATTTTTATAGGCAATACATATTAAAATTCCCCTAATGACTTTCTTACTAATGTTCTTTAGAGCGGATTTATTTGTTTGCTTGTTTTTTTTCCAGGATCCAGTTAAGGATCACATTACATTTGCTCATTCATTCATGGCTCTTCAAAATTCTTTCCTTAAGAATCATACCTTAATCTCTAACCCCCTTTTTTTTATCATTCATGATATTTGTTTTTTGACTAGTCCTAGAGAACCATCTTGATACCCCTTATTATAGAATTTTATGTTTCAGTTTTCTTTGCATGATCTAAAATACAGACTAAGCAGTTGTGGTAGCAATACTATATAAACAGTGTTGTAACCTTAGTGCAGCACACTGTAAGGCAAGTGCCTTGGTGGCTTATGACTTGTTATTTATTTTAAACAAATAATTGAACTATTGGAGTTCCTTAGGAGTAGAAAATGTCATTTGTCTTTTATTATTGATCAAATCTTTTGTGGGAGTTGAATAGTCCTTATCCTTATATAATAACACCCCCCCCACACACACACACACCAATAAACCACATTGGCAGATATCAAATGACTGCTATAATGTAATTACTTTAGAACTGACCTTCCTATTTTTGTAGATGTAACCATTCCTTTACGGGAGCAGATAGATATCCATATAGTTCTCCCGTGGAGCGACTGGTGGCTTCAAACTTTAGCCCTTTTGGTGAACAGTCGAGTGTTTTAACCACTGCCCCACCAGGGCTCCAGCTAAATTCTCACTCCCATCAAGTTGATTCGGACTCATTCTGGCCCTGTGGGACAGAGCAAAAACGACCCCTATTGTTTCTGAGGCAGTAAATATGGGCGCAGAGCCTCATCTTTCCCTTAGGGAGCAGCTAGTAGATTTGAACCACCATTCATGCAGTTAACAGCCCAGTGCATAATCCTTTGTTTCACCATGGGCTCCTTCCAACACAAATAGGTGTGGAAAATTAGTCCCTGACACCCTCTCCTGTGGCTAGAGAAACCATGTGACTGTAAAAGTGATGTCGTTCGCAAGTTTAGAGAATGCCATAAATCATGAAATTGTGTTTGCTACAAGTCATATCCTTTCATCAGTAATTATGTGAGAAAATTTTGTCTGAACTGAAAAAGACTCATAAAACAGTTCTTCACATTCTTGGGAAGCACTGAAAAGAACAAAACCTGATTTAGCAGAATGATTTGATGGAAATATTATTAAAAATTTCAGGTAAGATTATATTTTGCACCTGCTATGTGCAGTGTGTGAGGAGTGTTGGTGCCATAGTGGGTTAAGTGTTGGGCTGTTAACCAGAAGGTGAACAAAAGGTTAAAAAGTCCCCGAGCCACTCCGTGGGAGAAGGATGAAGCTCTCTACTCTCATACAGGTCGAGCCTCAGAACGCTGTATAGGTTGGCATGAGTGGAATAGAATAGATGGCAGTGGATTACGTATTTTCTTTATGTGCAGTGTGTAAGTGTACTAGTTTAAAATCTGGGGGTTGGTACAATTCATGTTTCCATTCTTCAAAGAAATAAAAATTTAAAAGTTTTCATGAAATGAAATAGATAATATATAATACAATAATAAGACAGACTGTATACATAAGTGATAGAATGCAATTCTAATGATGATATAGTCTAGTCTTTATTGCTAGAAACAGACAAAGGCAACAGCTTTCTGATGTAGTAAGTCTGCTTTATGTTTAATGGCTGACAGTGGTGAAAGTGTTTTATGTTTACTCTTAACAAGCCATTTAATGGCTTCTCTTACTTTGTACAGTTTGAAACTTCTCTGGTTACCCGTTGAGAGCGGCTGCTAGCCTTGCTGATCACTGCAAAAGTGAAATATCTCATCCAGGGAGATAGCTGCGCTCAGCGGGTAGACTTGGGGTTCCATGAAGCCCATTAGGGTACTTCATATTGATCGCTTTGTTTCCATGGCGTAACGATTCACTAATGAGCCCTAGTGACCACGGTGACCGCTGCTGCTGATTTGGTGTCCTTTGGGGCTTCACTTTGTCTTTACCAGGAAAAATGTGGGGTGACTTCTTATCCTATTGAAAGAGGTATAATTAGAGGTATTAGAACTTATTTTTGAATATTCCTGACAGACCTTTATGGAGTGAGGAAATGAGCATTGAATTTAATAAAGAGTCAGTCCCTGTTGGATATTGTGTTTGCTGTGTCCTTTAATGCCCAGAGACACCCTGTGAGAAAGGGCGTGCATTCATCAGTGGGGAAGCACTGAGAGTCAGAGTTTTAGGAACTGTTCAAGGCCATGCCATTAGTTAACTTTAAAACTACCATATAAACCCAATTATTTCTGATCAGAACGTACATTGAAGCTTAACTATACTCAGAAACTATACTCAGTGCTTTGCTTGGAAAATGTGAGTGCAGCAATATTATTCCTCATTTGTAATGTTCTCTGACTTAAGAACATTTTAAAAGCCCATTTTTTGTTGTTGTTGTTTTCTTTTCTTCTATTTGTTCTAACCTAGACTGTCTTATTCTTGGGCTGTAGCAGTGGACAATTTAAGAAGAAGTATACCCACTCTAAAGGGACTGTGAGTTTTATTGCTGCCTTAAAACAATAATTTCCCTGAAACAAAATCTTGGCATTGACTAATCTCAGATAAACTGCATGTGACAATGGCACTAAATTTGCTCAATGTTTGGGCTCAATATCTTCCATCCAACTATAACTTCCTCCTCTCACCTCGCTTCTCTGCTTCACTTCTAATCTCATTTCTCCTTGATTCTGTCATAGTAGCAGCCATTGCTGCGGAGTTGGCCGGCTTACCTCTAGACATAGACTTGTACTGTGCAGCACCCAGGGAGACATCACAAAGCTGTGGACTAGAGTGATCGTCGACGTTAGGTCCTGTCATCTTTTGTTCTAATACAGAACACCAAGAAGGAAGAATGAAAAGGCCTTGTATCTGTAAAGCCTTTCTAAATTGAGTGTTTACAGGAGATGCTGAATAGGAAGAGAAATTATCCACACAGTGTTAGTGTTTGTAAGCCTGTCTAGTAAGCATTGTCAATTTGAAACGCGCAGTATATTACTAAGGATTTATTTTAACTTTTTGTTGAACTTAATTTGCTGGAGGGAAAAAACAATCCAGTGTCTTCCTGTGATGCTAGTATTTTAAGATAAACTTACAAACGAAACTCTTACACATTATAAAAAGTTTTAATACTTGTTATACCCTCATTGAATTTAATGAAGAGAGTCATTAACCCATTTGCTTCTAAAACTTATGAAGTACCCTAAAAGTATAGTTTTAAAAAGAAAGTGCAGGGCTAGTATTCCTAGTTTTGTCCACTAATCCAGTACTAGTTGAGAATGTTCTTTAGAACTTTATTATCTCATCTGTTAGCTTACTACCAATTAAAAGGTAAGCAGTGTATAACTTAACAAACAAGAGTTTAGCAAATGACTCCAAAGATTGCATATGTACTTAGATCTACCAAGGACTAGCGATCCAGACTGAAACTCACCAAGGAGTGGTACCTTATATGTGAATTCTAAAGTGGGGCTCTGTTTGTATTCACTTCCAGTGGCAGCAATGCTAGCCAAAAATGGACAGGAAGCCCTGATTGAGATGATAAAATATTAATAGAAAGGAATGTATATACAAGCCTTTTCTTTAACTTTTTCACCTAATACTGGAATTAGCATCATGAGGTGTGCCTCAGGCAAGCCAGCTTATGTAGATTCCATCAGTTCTAAAGGAGACTTTGTTTGCTTTTTTACCATGAACTATAAGCTTTGCAAACCCAATTTTATATTCTCAATTCACAGGGCTTCTTACTATGAGATTTCAGTTGATGATGGTCCGTGGGAGAAACAGAAGAGCTCAGGACTCAATCTGTGCACAGGAACAGGGTCAAAGGCCTGGTAAGAAACACGGATGCTGCTTTGTACCTTTGTGGAATATCTCAGTAATATAATTCATCTAGTACCTCATATTGGTGCATCTATGGGCTCTAATACATGTCCTGTAACCTGGTGCTGTTTTGTAGGTAGCCTCAGTTACTGTTTCATTTATCGGTTAGGTCCCAGAGTCTAGCCTTGACAACTAGGATTATAACTGCAGCCTATATTTGATTATGCAGTCATTAATTGATGCATTGCACTAAGTGCTAGGATCCCTGGTGGTGCTGTTGGGTAAGCATTGGACTCCTAATCGCAAAGTTGGTGGTTCAAATCCACTACCCACTCTACGGCAGAAAGATGAGGCTGTCTGCTCCTGTAAAGATTTACAGCTTGAGAAACCCTATATGGAATCAACTTGATGACAGGGGGTACGTGCACTAGATTTATAAAGAAATACAGAAAATAAGAAATGGTGTGGGAGACTATAAATATTTAAGTGATGTTAATTTTACATAATAAAAAATGGATACAAAGTACAGTATAAAAAGTATACAGGTGATTTGTGCAAGACAGCCTTAACTGGAGCTGATCTGGGACTTCCTGTATTCTCCTTTTCCTATAATCTTTCCTGGTCTAGTTTCTTGTTCTGCTAGTGTATACATATAGATAGATGTCTTCTCTCCGGACTATACACTCATGTTCAACCAGATAGGAAATTAACAGCATTTCAGATTCAACACATTGAAAACAGAATTTATTGCCATCTGTTTTTTCTTATGTTCCATGTATCATTACACGGAACAAAATCTTGTTCTACCACTGCGTCTCCTCATTCTTAGCTCCATATATATATATATCAATCCCTCAACGCTGTCAACTGAAGTCTGATGTTTCTGTCCTCTTTTTCACTGGCTGGTAAGTGAATGTTCTTTGGATCTTATGCTTTATTCTTTGGGCTATCAATCACATTATCAACAGAGGAATGTTTATAAAATGTGGATAAATCTGCCTACATTTCTTCTGCCTACATTTCTTCTCTACTTTAATACCGTCAGTGATCTTGCCATTGTCTAGTCGAACCTAACCCCAAGGTCAGCAATTGGAAGCCACCAGCTGTTCTACAGGAGAAAGATGAGGCGGTCTGCTCTAATAGAGATGAATAGTCTCACAAGCCCACAGTTCTACTCTGTCCTATAGACTCTCTGGGAGTCAGAGTAAGTTGATGACGTTGTTGTTTGGTGCTATCGGGTTGACTCTAACCCATCGCTACCCTATGCAAAACAGAAAGAAATACACCCAGTCTGCGCCATCCTCACAGCTGTCCCTGTGCATGAGCCCATGTTGCAGCCACAGTGCCAGTCTGTCTCCTTGAGGGCCTGCCCCCCTTCACTGCCCTCCACTTTCCCAAGCCCGTGTCCTTCTCCAGGTACATCCTCTCCTAAAGTATGTAAGATAAAGTCTTGCCATCCTTGCCTTTAAAGATCCCTCTGGCTATACTTCTTTCAATACACATCTTTCCTTTAACAGCCCATGGTACTTTTAGCAGTGTGGCAGTTGAGTTTTTTATGTTCAGATTGCTTAGGCTGTCAGACTAGTCCCTGTGTAATATGAGCTTATCGACCTTACCAGCATTATTGCTGCCCAGCTCCCTTGAAAATTCCAGTGCCCACCATGTTCTCTCCTGACTTCTTGTTGTTCGATTCAACTTTATCCTGTGTTAAATCCCTTTACACTTTTCACTTTCCATCCACTGGTTGAAAATCCTGACCTTTAGATGTCATTTCTTTAGGAAAAATTTACTGGGACCAAACTCTCTTCGTAAGCATGATTAATCAATATATTTTTTTTAAATCTTCCCCAGCACTTTTTTCTCATAGTACTAATGTAGTATTTAACATGTTATTACTACCTATCTACCAAGAAGAACGCTCAAACCAGAGAACAATATCATTGATATCACACGCACGTAAAATTTTGCTTAAGATCATCTAACAATGGTTGCAGCAGTACATTGCCAGGGAACTGCCAGAAGTTCAGTCGGATTCAGAAGAGGACATGGAATAAGGTATTTCATACCTGATGTCAGAGTGATCTTGGCTCCAAGCAGAGAATATCAGAAAGATGTTTACTTGTATTTCTTTGACTAAGCAAAGGCATTTGACAGTGTGGAACAGAATAAATTGTGGATAACCTTGAGAATTGAATTCCAGAACACTTTACTGTGCTCACGAGGAACTTGTACATGGATCAAAAGGTGAACAGAACAAGAGCATACTGCATAGTTTAAAATCAGGAAAGGTATACATCAGCATTGTATCCTGTTACCATACTTGTTCAATCTGTTCTAATGAGCTAATTATCACAGAAGCTGGATTATATGAAGAAGAATGTAGCATCAGGATTGGAGGAAGGTTTAACAAGCTGGGATATGCAGATGACACAAGCTTGCTTGCTGAAAGTGAGAAGGAATTGAAGCACTTGCTAATGAAAGTCAAGGATTATAGCCTTTAGTATGGATTACAACTCAATGTAAGGAAGACCAAAATCCTCACATCTGGACCAATAGGTAACATCATGAGAAATGGAGAAAAGGTTGAAGTTGTCAAGGATTTTTTCTTACTTGGATGCACAATCAGTGCTCATGGAAGCAGCAGTCAAGAGACCAGAAGACACATTGCATTTGCTAAATCTGCTCCACAAGACCTCTTTAGAATATTGAAGAGCAAGGATGTAACTTTTATAACTAAGGTGCACCTGACCCAAGCTTTGGTATTCTCCATTGTCTTATATGCATGTGAAAGTTAGACATTGAAAAAGAAAGACCAAAGAAGAGTTGAGGCATTTGGATGAATGGTGGTACTGGATAAGAATATTGAAAGTACCATGGACTGCTAAAAGGACAAACTGACCTGTGTTGGAAGAAGTAAGGCCAGAGTGCTTCTTTAGAGGCAAAAATAGCAAGATTTTGTCTTACATACTTTAGACACATTGTCAAGCGAGACCAATCCCTGGAGAAAGACACAGTGCTTAGTAAAGTGGAGGGACAGCAAAAGAGAGGGAAACCCTCTAGGAGATGGATTGACACAGTGGCTCCATCAATGGGCGCAGGCATCGGACAAATGATGATGATGGCACAGGTCCATGCAGTGTTTTCTGTGGTGAATAGGGTTGCTATGGGGCGGAGCCAACTCAATGGCATCTGACAGCAACCAGTCCTGATGCCATGGTCCTCATCATGCAGACCAGGTCTTGGACCAATTGCTGAGCACACAGATTGAATAAGTGTGGTGAAAGGTACAAGCTTGATGCTCACACACTCTTCCTGATTTTAAATCATGCAGCATTCCCTTGTTTGGAGTCCTCTTTTCAATGGAGCTTCTATTTCTGGCTGTCTTTTATCAATGTCTGCGACAACTACTCTTGAATTAACCTCAGCAAAACTTTACTTGCCTGTATTAATAATGATACAGCTTGAAATTTTCTGCATTCTATTCAATCACCTGTTTGAAATGGACACAAATATGGATCTCTTCCAGGTAGTTGGCCAAGTAGCTGTCTTCCAAATGTCTTGATAGAGGCCAGTAAGCAGTGTTTCATTCTGTTGTGCAATGGGTTGTTTTGGGTGGGAGCCAACTTGATGGCTCCTAACAACATAAAAGCAACATGGACCCAGGGAGGTCTGAGCAACTTAAGTGGCTTGAGATAAGATTCCTTTTTTTCTTCCTGCTTAAAATTTTTGTGTGTATAGCACAATACCAAATGCATAGTCACTCAAATACAGTATTTTTTAATAAATGATTACATGCTTACAAATATAACTAAAATCATGCTTATCAAAATTTCATATTTGGATAGGTTAGAGTTTTATATTTTTGGTTTGTCAACTATAAATTGGCATTACTTTTTAAAACCTTTTTATTGTATAACATTTTGAATACATACATGAGTACCCAAAACTGTATAATGAATCCTATGTCCAGTTAATCCTATGTCATTAATTATCAACTCATGTCCAATCGGGCTCCCTCTGTACAACTTCTTATTCCCCCGCCTTCCCACATTATTTAATTTTACTAGGTTTTCATTTGTAGTTTTAGGGTTACAGAGAAGTTGTGCAGAACGTACACATAGCTTTTCCTATTATTAACATCTTTTGTTTCTGTGGTACATTTGTAACAATTACTGAATCAATATTGATACATTATTATTAACTCAAGTTCATAGTTTATTACAGTATATGTTTACTTTAAATTTTGATTGTGCAGAATTGTCTACCTACTTCCCATTAGTGTGTGAGAATGGTATTTGTTTTCATAACCATGCGAGTACTAGTGGGTTTTTAATTCTTAAAATCTGAGAAATCAATTTTATTTTCTACTTCCTTGAGTAAAATAAGTCTGCGAACTGTTTGTCATGACTGTTGCCGCTTTTAAACAAAGTTAGGTGGGGTGGTAACTTGTCTTTTGGCTCTTTTTTAAAATTCCTGATTATTTAAAGGATTTTTTTCTATATTAAGTAGATTATTCCCTTTTTAGTATGCTTTTAAAATTTAAACAAAAAAGAATTATTTGGTTTTTGTTCCTAGGTCATTCAATATTAACAGGGTTGCTTCTCAGGCTGTGGAGGATGTTTTAAATATTGGTGAGTACCAAAATAGCTTGTAGCTGTTGGAATCTATTTATAGCATGCTCTGTTACATGTGGAAGCCCTGGTGGCACAGTGGTAAAGCTCTTGGCTGTAGCTCTTGTTGGTAGGTCAGCAGTTGGAAATCCCCAGCCAACCCACTAAGAAAGATAGACAGCGACCCTTTAATACAGTGCCTCATGTGTGGTGACCCCCCCAAACATAAAATTATTTTTGTTGCTACTTCATCACTGTCATTTTGCTACTGTTATGAGTCGGGTGACCCCTGTGAAAGGGTCGTTTGACCCCCAAAAGGGGTCGCAACCCACAGGTTGAGAACCGCTGCTATACAACCTTAGATGGCTTATAAGGCAGTTCTTGTCTGTCCGATAGGGTCATTATGCATCAAAACAACTTGATGACAGTGGGTTTTGGGTTATATGAGGGGCTTCAAAAAGTACATGGGGAAATTCCATTACCTTTAAATTTCATTTTCCATATATTTTTGAAGCCCCGCATATATGTTTGCATTAAATATCTAATAACATAATACAAAATGCTTTCTTTGTTTCCATTTTCAATAGCACAAAGACAAGGAAATTTACGTCTTCCATTGAACAAAGACTTGGTAGAGAAAGGTCAGTGACAATTGAGATCATTAATATTTTAATTTGAATCTATATTGATTTTGGTGGTACTGTTATGTGTCGTTGTCTTATTAGCACAATGTACACACTCTACACAAACGTCCCTTTCAATGTGTTCCATTGAATATATTTTAATATAAAATTAAAACTTGACTTTTGTATTGTGATTTTTGTCACAATATAAATATAGATTCTGTATCTCAATGGTGATAGAAAAGGACAGAAAGGTGTACATCTGACAAATAGGGAACACAATACCTCCACTTGGCGGGCCATTACTACCCTCTGATGGCGATGCAATTCACTGAGCTGACAGTGCTTGGCTTCATGTTCACTCAGCTCTTTTCTTTAACCTTCACCACCCCCAAGTGTACTGGTTACATTGTGGGTTATGTAGGCTTTTGTGGGCTAATCTTTACCCTAATCCTCTTATATCAAGATGTGTGTATTTAAGGAGTGTGTGTTGTACTTGCTGTGAAACAGACCTTTAGACAACAACTGCTTCTAAATTGGCATCACATCTGTTCTGTTTTTGTATTGTTTCACTGAATGTGCTAAAGTTTGGGGGTGTTTTCTTTATAGTAACAAATGAATATAATGAATCACTGCTCTACGGTCCAGAAGAACCAAAAATACTTTTCAGTATTCGAGAACCAATAGCAAACAGAGTTTTCTCAAGCAGCCGCCAGCGTTGTTTCTCCTCAAAGTAAGCTTTTGAAGCCTATGTGTTCATCCATGGTAATTATAAAGCACACATGGCTTGGTTTTAAGAGTATTTAATTTCATGGAATTTACTCATTCAAACTTTATTTAGTGGAAAAAGTAGAATCTAGGGAACTAGTGCGGTGGGATGCTAAGGTTGGTTGGTTAAGGTATTTATTTCAAATGTACTGAGCCATCTTGCAGATACTAAAGTGCAAGTTACTAGAAGGGGAATACATGCTTCAGTTGGGTGATGGGGACTTGGTTTTAATGTACCAGGACACAAGCATTAAGATCAAATTATCATGACTATTGTTAGTAAAATTCTGAAGTAAATTTTAAGCCTCAATGTTTAGTCATTAATTCTCTCATACTACAGGGAAATTTGATTTTTAAAAGCAAGACTAAATGATCTCGCTCAGATAAAAATCCACCAAAGTTTTAATGAAGTGATTAAGTGATGTTAAAATGTTAACATTTAATGAGATCTTTCCTTCTTTCTGTTTAGGGTTTGTGTTCGTTCTCGTTGCTGGGATGCCTGCATGGTTGTGGATGGAGGAACTTCTTTTGAGTTTAACGATGGAGCAATTGCTTCAATGATGATCAATAAAGAAGATGAACTTCGAACTGTGCTGCTAGAACAGTGAAGTCTTTTCCCAGATGACAAAGTTTGATTACTAGAGCTTTTCCCCCTCTTTCTTAACTACAGAAACAGACACTGGTCATAAAGCTACATTTGGGGTTATTGTTGAGTGAGACTGGTTGCCCTGAGCTCAGAGGTGACCAAGAGAGTGAGAGTTGCACAGTCTGAATTGCGATGGGAAGATGCGCAGTAGTAGATGGACTAAACTGATCAGCATTGAACCTACTGACATTTCTATATATATATATATTTTTTTTTTTCATTTCTATATTTTTTACGACTGAGAACTAAGAGTGACATCCTTTAAAACACAGAGAGGTAAGAAAGGACTTAGTGTTTAGGATCAGAAATTTAACTGTACAGGCTTTTATTTTCCTTCCCCCTTTTCCTAGATTTGTTAAATTGGTCAGGTTAAACACTTAATATTTGTTTAGCGCAATTTTTTATAGTACTTTAAAAATCAAGATTAAAAAAATTGATCACATTCATGGAGAATTTTGATAAAACCTCATATTGACCTAACTGAAATAGGTAAAATGTGTTTTTCAGTGTGCTAGGGATTTTCTAATTTCAGTATACAATGATGTTATGACTATCCACTTAAAATTTTCAGTCACTTTTCAAGTTATAGCTCAGTGTTTTTATTTTAAATTTAAGTTGGGTTATTTTCAACAATGCTGGGTAAAATGCATATAAACAGGGAAAATTATGATGCTATTACAAATATATTAATTACCAGTAGCAATTTTAAGTCACAGGCATTGATTTCTTTTTTTTTTTTTGGAGGGGAGAGGATTTGAGTTCAATAGGATTCTTTCATCTTTAAAATTTATTAATATGGATGAAAGTGCAAAATGGATAAAGTGGTTGGCTAAACTTAAAATATTTTCATCTAGTTAGGAATTAGTGTTGTCAGAAATAAAAATAATTCTTTAGTAAATTTGCAAAATACTCACTTTTGTTTTGGAATTGCCTTACCTAATATTATGGTTCCACGTAGCTCATATGCCAAGGTCTTACAACTCATCATTGGATGTTGTGTTCCCATTATGCACTTTGTTCATTATAATTACAAAATTCCTTGATCTTTGGAAGGTATTATTTTTATATAACTCTTAATCTACTTATTTAATAATTAGCCCTAACTTGCCACCCAAAGGTCCTTTTGTTGTCTAATGACACAGTTGCTATTCTCGTGCCATTCCAAGTTTTATCTTTTTTTCACACTTGCTGGTGAAAGTTGTTGTTCAATAATTGACAAGCATTTACTCAGCACCTACTCCATGCAGCACACTGTGCCAGGTGCTGAGTGTACACTGATGAGTGAGACAGACAGACATTGGTGAATGAAACAGAACTTTAGTCTAGTGAGCTCTGGAGTAAATTTTGTGAAAGTTAAGTAAGGTTTGTGTGTTTAAGTTGTGCACTCAACTTTGCCAGCGTTTATTTAACTTACTGTTCTTAACAGTTCTTAATATAGATGTAAGTGTAGGTGCACTCGTGGTGCGAATGGTTAAGTGCTCAACAGAGCCAGAGGTTGACAGTTTGAACCCACCTAGAGAATGTTGCGAGGACAACCCTGGTGATGTGCTTTGCAAGGTCACAGCCTTGAAAACCCTGTGGAGCAGTGCTTTCCTGCTTGTCACCGCAGTCACTGCCAGGCAGATGGACACGGCAGCCACTAACACCGACAGGCAAAGTGTAATTCAGATTGTGATGTGTGCTTGGAGGAATCGGGCTGTCCTCATTAAAAGTACCTGCAAAGACTTGGGTAGAGTAGAGTTTACATGATGTATCAATAGAAAACAGTAAAAACTAGTGTTTCCTTAGAGCTGGAGCTAGTTTCTGGGTTGATTGAAAAGTGACATGCTAAGACGCCTCTTTATAAACCAGTGAAATTCTATACTGCAGAAACTCCCCCAAATGGATTTAAAATACCTTCTTGGAAAAAGTGCCAACTCTGTTTTATATCTCAAGGGCATCTGATTGTCCCAAATGGTACCTGTTAATATGTATAGGTGACCTACTGTATAGAATTGTTCCTAAGCCATGTTTTAAAGTTGTTTTTTGTTTTTTAGAGAAACAAGACAAAATGTCATGTGTTCTATTTGTGATATGACGTAGTATAACATTTCTGCTCTGGGATGGGAATTTATTTTGTAAGAGATGATGAGACACAAAGGCTGTTAAAATAGCAAAACTGTTTTCATGAATGAGTTAACCTTTTCATGGAAAATGTATGTGAATAAAAGTAAGCCTTTGTTATCTCTTCCATTTCAGTTCATTTCTTATTTCACTTACCTTTTTTAGCATATGTGCTGCTGAAGCGAGCACATTTCACCTACCTTTTATGGGATCATTTAAAAGCCACATTTTCACAAAATATTTCAAAAAATCCTCCCACTGCTGTGTATTGTTCTGTGCTGTTGACTTTTCATTCGCAGCTAAATTTTAACATAGGATCATTTTTTTACATAATCAGATGGTAAAGTGTTTACCTCATGAATGTAGAGTGTAAAGATAATTTTGAATTAGTTTTGATATTCCATATGTATTTATATTCATGCCTCCAGTATAGCAAAAGATGCTATAAATGTGTAGTCCTCACCTAGAAAGAATACACAATGATTTCATTTTTAAATATAAAAGGGTGCCAAAAAGTTTGTGAAAAAATTCCAGTCTTTCAATTCCATTTTTGACAATTTTTTGAAGCCCCTTCATATGAAAAGAAATATAAGCAAAATAAGCAGAAACATATAACCAGCCAACAAACTTACTGCAAAATATTCATGTGTGAGGAAAAAATTAGCAAATGTAAAGGTAAACTATTGCTTAAGGAGCCCGAGTGGCATGATACTTTAACATGTGGCTGCTAACGGAAAGGCTGACTGTTAAACCAGCCCGATGCTTCCTCAAGGAGCACATCCATGGTAACCGTTTGGGGAAGTTCTGCTCGGTCACATGCGGTCTCTGAGTCAAAAGGTGACTGGACGGCTAACATCTAGTGCTCAGCTATGAAAACATGTATAGGTTTAGAATTTAATAAAGAACTCCTTCCATTGTGCCAATATACAGTAATATATGTGTCATCATAACTTTGGATAGGATCTACCAAGAAATCCTAAGGAGCATTTCTACAGGGTTGCTATGAGTTGGATTCAGCATGATAGCAGTGGGGTGGATTAATGGGCGAGGGCTTAAGTCAATGAGAAGACTTATTAAGTGTTACACACTAAAGAGGTTATTAAAGTTTAAATCACCTTATAAGCCTGAAGACATTTTTAAGAAAATTACTGAGGGGTTTAAGGGAGGAAAGTATATAAAAATATTTTAAGTGTTAATTTGAACATAATATAAAGTAGGTACCAAAGGTATAAAGTCTGTCTCGGAAGAAGTATGGCCATAGTGTTCCTTAGAAGCAAGGATGACAAGACTTTCATATATACTTTGGCCTTGTTGTCAGGAGAGACCAGTCCAGGAGGACATGATGCTTGGTCAAGTAGAGGGGCAGTGGCAAAGAGGAAGGCCCTTAATGGGATGTAGTGACACAGTGGCTGCAACAACGGGCTTAGGCGTAGAACAGTTGTGAGGATGGCACAGGGCCAGGCAGGGTTTCCTTCTGTTGTGTAGGCCACTATGGGTTGGACTGACTTGATGACACCTAACAATAGCACAAAGGCATAGGTTTATCTGTTTTGTCCATTTCTCCCTTCTGAAACAGAAAAAAGAATTGTAACGAGATGTTGTTAAGTTTCTTCAGGGACCAGAATGATGCACAGCTTTTGTAGTAGACTGAGTTCTGAATTCTACTTTATCATACTGAACACCTAGACTGACTTAGCTACTAAGGAGAGTGCCTATTGCAATAAGCGCACTTTATTGTGGCGAACTTTGCCAGTATTTACTCTTCAGAAGTAGGTAGAGTGCCATCTGATGGTTGGAAAGAGTAACAAGTAGGACAGACAGTACAATAGCCTTTAGTGTGCTTGAATTTTTCAGGTTGTCATGAGACTAGACTTTCTTGGCTTTCACAGGAAATGAAGGCGCAGCGCCAGTGGTTCAGTGGGTTTAGCATTGGGCTGTTAATAACCCACCAGTTCTGCAGGAGGAAGATATGGTATAATCAGACACACCTGTGGGAATGGCATGGAGAAATTCTACACTGTCTCATCAAGTGCTATGTGTCAGACTTGACTAGTTGGTAATTGACACAAACTACGCTTTGTTACTTTTATACCACCGGTTGTCTGTTAGTTCGCCATATTGTGGTGGCTTGTGTGTTCCTGGGATGATGGAAGGAAGCTATGTCATGAGTATTTCAGATGCAAGCAGAGTCACTCAGTGAACAGGTTTCAGCCGAGCTTCCAGACTGAAAACAAACTATGAAGAAGGAAAAGGATATCCACTGCTGAGGAATTAGCCACTGTAACCCTTAAACAAAGAACGGAAACACTGTCAAATACCGAAAACCTCCTGAAAAGAGCATTGTCTGAGATAATGCCAGAAGAAGAGCCCCTCAGATTGTAAGGCATTCAAAGTATGATTGAGGTCGAACTTCCTTCCCAAAGTCGTGGGCCATATGATGCCGATGGAGTAAAGCATGGGGAAGTAAAGCCATCAGGACCTTTATTTGCAGGTGGGACATAACTCAAACAAGAAAAAAACAGCTGAAAAAGTATACAATAATTGGAACTCTGAATATACAGAGTACCAATCTAGGAAAAGTGGACGTCATAAAAATTAAATGGAACACAAAGATCAATCCTTTTAAGCGTTAGAGTGTTGAAAGGGACTGGTATTGGCCATTTTGAATCAGAAAATCAGATGGTTTACTCTGCTGGGAATGAAATAGTCACGAGAAATGGTGTCACATTCATTGTCAAAAAGGACATTTCAAGATGTATCTTGAAGTGCGAGGCTGTCTGTGAAGATTATATCTATCCACCTTCAAGGAAACCCACTCAATACAACTAATTCAAGTTTATGCACTAATAACCACCAAAGCTAGTGAGGCAGAAATTAAAGAATTCTACCTGGAGGGAGGGTGGGGTGGAAAGGGGGAACCGATTACAGGGATCTACATATAGCCTCCTGGGGGATGGACAACAGAAAAGTGAGTGAAGGGAGATGTCAGACAGTGTAAGACATGACAATAATTTATTAATTATCAAAGGTTAATGAGGGAGGGGGGAAAATGAGCTGATGCCAGGGGCTTAAGTAGAGAGCAAATGTTTTGAGAATGACGAGGGCAACGAATGTACAAATGTGCTTTACATAATGTATGTATGGATTGTGTTAAGAGTTGTATGAGCCCCAATAAAATGATTTAAAAAAAAATTCTACCAATGCCTTCAATTGGAAATTGATCAAACATGCATTGACGATGCACCGATAATTGTTGGCAATTGGAATGCAAAAGTTAGAAACCAAGAGGAAGGTACAGTAGTTGGAAGATATGGCATTGGTGATAGGGACAGATCTGGAGATCACATGACAGAATTTGCATCACCAATGACTTGTTCATAGCAAATACCCTTTTCAACACAAAAGCCATGTACTTCTCCAGATGGAATATTCAGAAATCAAATTGACTACAACTGCGGGAAGAGATGATCGAGAAGCTCAATATCAGCAGCTGAAACCACAGCAGGGGCTGATCAGATCAATTGCTCATATAAGTAGGTTGAAGCTGAGTAAAATTAATGCAAGTCCATGAGAGCCAAACGACTATCTGCAGCCTGTCCTACCAGAATTTTGAGAGCATCTCAAGAGCAGATTGGCTGCCTTGAACACTGATAGAAACTTTGAAGGGGTGTGGGATAATAGCAACATCGTTCAGGAAGAGAGCAAAAGGTCATTAAAAAGACAGGAAAGAGATCAAAGTGGATGTCAGTACTTGTAACTTGAGGACTTAAGCCAGAAAACATGGTGGCTGAGGAAGCAGCAGACAGTTGTACCAAGAGCGAGTATATTGTTGGTTGGCAGACAAACCAGGTCTTGCTACATCAGTGCCCTGAATGCTATATTATTCCAGCAATCCTATGATAGCCATTCAGTTACACAAGGTTTACCCAAAAGACCGATTTTTTTCTTCAAATCTGTTTAATTTTTTTTTTTAACAAAACAACCTTATCACCTTCAAAGTACTCTCCATTACACTAGAAGCATTTGTCAGATCTGCAGTTCCATTCTTGGCAACATTTTTCAAACCCATCTGCTTGGATGGCTGACAGCGCCTCCCTTTTTTCCCACCTCTTCTACGTTGTCAAATCACTGTCCTTTCGTGTTCCTCTGCATTCGCAGAAACAAAAAGAAGTCACATGGAGCAAAATCAGGTGAGTCAGGTGTGTGGGGCAAGAGAGGAATGTTGGTTTTTTTGCCAAAAACTGGCGCTCTGAGATGGCTGCATGAGCAGGTACATTGTTGTGGCAAAACCAGTCCCGTCTGCCACAAACCAGGCCTTGTTTGTCACACGCTGTTACACAATCTTTTCAGAACCTCTAAATAGAAAGCTTGATTAACAGTCTGACCCAGTGGAATGAATTCCAAATGCACCGTACCCCTCACATCAATAAAACAAATGAGCATTGCCATGATTTTTTATTTCACTTGATGTGCTTTTGGGGGGCAAGGTGACAGTGGCGTTTTCCACTGGCTTGATGTTTGCTTTGGGGGTTGTAGGAACAGCACCATGTCTCACCACCAGTAATAACCTTGCTTGGGGAGGGGGGCGGGAGTCTGGGTTGCTTCAGAGCTGTTCTTGCATGGCATGTTTCCACTTGACACTTTTTCTTAGTCAGAACCCGAGGCACAAATTTTTTAGTGACCCTCGTTTTCAAATCTTCCATTAAAATTTGATGAACCAAGCTCCAAGGTATAGTCCAGGTAACTTCCCCATCTCTTCAGTGGTCCAAGTGCACAAATTTTGTTGTCATTTTCGTCCATTCAGCAAGATGGCCAGGATGAGGTTTGTTTTCAATCGACATTTCACCTTTGTTGAAATAAGAAAACCACTCACACTGGAGTTTTCCCATAGTGCTGTGCTTATAAGCTATGTCCAACATCACAACAGTTTCGGCAGCGTTTTTCCTAAGCAGGAAACAAAATTTCACAGCGGCATGCTTTCTCTTAAATTGGCCATCACACCAAATGAGTTTCAAGTGAAACTGCTTTTATGAAAAAATTCACTGTGACCAGAGAACCTTCCCAGTGATGCCACTCAGCGAGCTGCTAGATGCGGACCTAGCGGGGAGAATGTATAGTACAAAAGCTCT